CTGAACCGCCTGATCTATACAGATGCTGCAGAGCTGGGTCAAAGTAACACACTCCTTCTTTTGGTAAAGTGTCAGGGAGAGGGGGTTGGGTTTTTTGGGGGTTTTTTAGTATCTGCAAGTATCCAGTATGTCTTGTGACAGTTGCATGCTAGTGGCACAATTATTGGTATAGTAGCTTGGTGGGTGGCAAAAATACCTTATCTTTTTATAGGCCTCCAAAGAGTAATGTGTCAGCACATTGTTCTTTGGAATCCTGCCTGCTTTACATAAGGTCATTTTCAAGCTCTTTTCCAATAACATTGCTGTTTTTTCCTTTCTCTAAGGTGCAGGTATTAGTAGGTATATTGAAGTAAGTGGTGTGCCCATGGAGTTTGCAAGGCCCCTTCACTAATCCTTTGTCCCTCTTGGTTTCAGATTCAAACTCAGATGATTTTGATCCTGCTTCCACTAAAAGCAAGTATGACTCCATGGATTTTGATAGTTTACTGAAGGAGGCACAGCGAAGCCTGCGTAGGTAACATGCATCACATCCAAGGATAATGGAGGGATGACGAATACCTCACGGACATCATGTCCTTCAATAACGGACAATTAAAAAGTCATAATTAGGAATTTCTCCTACTTTACACTCTCTTTACAAAAACATGGTTTACATGAACACAGCTGCTCGAAGAATGAAGAGGCAAAATGGATATCCAGTAAGCACATGTGTATCCATGGGTGTCAGTTTTGCTTTCTGGGGTGTTTGGTGGCAAGGGATTCTGGTGTTCATAGAGAGTACAAGTGTAAACCACTTGCAATGGCAGCAGTTCCATAGAGATACGCTTAAATATATAACTTCAAAATGTGTATATATTGCCTTTTAACAAGACAAAAACAAAAAAAGCAAATTGTGAACTACAACTGCTGATGTCTGGGAATCAGGCACTGCATTCTTTTTCTTCTTTCTTTTTTTTTCTTTACTTCTTTTTCTTTTTTTTATTTTTAAAGAAGCTTCTTCTCACCATGCAATGATAATATGACAATCCAGAAGAAACCACAAGTCATAGAAGCCTGCTGTCCTTTTATTTTTCCTCATGGAGGAGAAAATGAAAGGCTAAAACTTTTCTAACATTTTGAAGTTTCATCTTTTAATTCTGACACCCATGTAAATGTCCACAACGATGATCTTCCACAGCAGAAATTTCCAAGCCTTGTTAATGGTCAAGTGTGCAGCTTGTTCAGCGATTTTACTCTGATAAGCGGACATGGTATTACATTATTAATGAGAGTTGGGTATAACTATCTGGAGTGTGTACAGGTAGTTTATTTGCTACATTCTCTAAAGTAGTTGAGTATTTACAAATGTTAAATGGAGTATTTTTATTTTGTGTACATACTGTATGACAATGTTCTTTTTTGTTACAGCTATGCACTGTAAATGCAGCCTTCTTTTAAAAAAACTGCTGAATTTTTCTTAATCAAGAATATTCAAATGTAATTATATGAAGTGAAACAATTATTGTACACTAACATATTTAGAAAGCTGAACTTATGCTTATATATATTTGATTGTAAAAACAAAAAAGAGAAAAGTGTGTGTATGTGTGTGTGGGTGTGTGCGCGCGCGTGTGTGTGTGTGTTTGTTGAGTGCAAAAATATTAATGCTTTACTCACATTCATCCCTTGTTTGGTGAGCTTCTGTAAGAATTTGTCAAGAACTATCCTAGCCCAAAAGGCATTAACCACTTCTGCAATATTTTTCCACATTTTTCTCATGGCTTGTTTTTCTTTTGCAGTTTTATACACTGAATTTGTTAGGGGAATGAAATTTTCTCATCTAAATTTTCTAGGAGATATCATAAATTTGTGTAAAGTCTCTCAACTGGGTAATCATTAAGAAATGTTTTTATTTATGTATCAACAGTAATTTTGGAATGAGAAGTTTAAATCTTTTTAAAATGCTGTTTTGTTTTATTTTTTGTGATTTTCATTTGATAAAAAATGCTGAGGTATTAAGTACAGTATGATTTTTATGATAATTCTGTGTGTCTAAACACTGTTCTTGAAGCCAGTAATCTTTTCATTAGCAAAGTTTGATGATGGTATTTATCTATATTTTTTACAGTTATGCATCCTGTATAAATACTGAATCTTCATTCCTTTGTTTACTAAAAAGACATATTTATCGGTTACAATTATCCTATTTATTATAAATTATGAGATGACTAAAATAACAAAAAGGCCAGTGGAAATTTTATACCTAGGATGCATGACGGTTGTCAGGTTGGAGTAAGTGCTTCGTTTGGAAAATTCAGCTTTTGCAGAAGCAGTGTTTTTTTTTTTACTATGCACTAGCATGGCCTCAGATGTGCCCATGACATTGTTGTTGATGACATTGCTTCTGCTAAATTAAATAGAAACTTCAGGAAAAAACCTACCATTCTGAGCATTGGGATTTCATCAGAACTTGGAGCCTGTAGACTGAATCAGTAAAGTTTGGAGGCTGCTTGCAAGTTTATATAAATTGGTATTCTATTACTGTTTGGCATTCATGACTTCTTTTAAAGATATGGCACACCTACCTATTTAATTTCTCTTCTCACCCCCAGTCTTAGAAAACTGATTTCACCCCCAAGCCAATGCAGCTGATTTTGATAGCTGCACTCATTTTATCACCAGCATATTGTGTTCTGAGAGATTCCACTGTCTGTCCTGTCGGATGCTTGCTTGATTTTTTGGCTTTATTTCTGAGTAGATAGATAGCAATAAAAAAGAACTTTTTCACAGGTTCTGTGTTACAACTGTAACATCATTTAATCTGCGTAATTCTTGTTGTTGCTCTGTAGGTTAAAATGCAGGTATTTTAACTTTGATTGTGTGAATGCCAAACTAAAGTTTACAACTTTCCTTTCTGGATTTTGAGTATCTTCTGTTGTAAAGAAAAAATATTAAAAGCAATAAATTATTTTTAAGAAATCAATATTTAGTATATCATATTATGTGTTCAAGGACCAGATGCATTACCTATTTTGCCTTTAAATTTCTGTGATTAAATTTTAAATACATTCTATTTTGCCCTGGATTGCTGACATGAATAAATTGGTGTGCTTTTTTTTCTTCTCCAAGCAGACATTATGTCACGGTTCATTTTTTTTTTACTGGCCTGACAAATATTCTCATCTTGAAGATGGCTTTCCTCTATGGATTTACAAATTACATATGAAATTAACGTAGAACTAGGATTGCTGAATAATCTGAATAAAGCTATTTGTATCTTTTGTAGTCACCGTAGGTTGCCCATCAAAATGTAAGCTTGGTGTTTCCTTTTTTAAGAGAATATTTTCAAATTAGTACACAAATCATATTGTCATTGGAGGCAAATTGCAGCATAGCTCTATATGTCTTTTAGATGAAGATCGTACTCTTGCTTCTAAACTGTGGTAAGTACCACATCTGCAATGCTGGTAACAGAACTGGTACTTGGAAACTACGGTCTTTTCTAGAGATGTAAAAGAGTAATTTCTACATAATGCAAAATGATACAAAGCCAAATGGAAGTAGCATAAAACTGGGGGGGGAGGGGATATCAGTCTGTGCTCAATAACTCCAAACAACATTGGTTACCACTGATAGCAGCACAGAGAGGAAAGTTTGTGCCTCTGGGTTATACCAGTTGGGTCAGTTGAAAAAAAAAATACCTCCTTTACATCCCTTTAGATGTAAGCTTACAGTAGGTAATGATTATGTGTCCTTTTTGATGGCTGTAATGAGAACTTCAATCATTGTAGTATAAGATCTGATCTATAAATGACCTAGAATAGCCATGTAATATAATGTGATTATTCTAAATTTGTACTTATGTGACAGGCATTTTCAATAATGTGAACCACTGATCTGATGGAGCTACTGTAAAATGTGTACAGTAGGTGAATGTGTAGAGCTATTGGTTGGACTATGCTGAACAGGGAAAGTAAGCTATTAGTTTAGCCCAAGCTGGGCTATTTTCCACCTGCCAATTCTACCTGTACTTTTGTGGTTTAATCCATTGTATAAAAATTCCTGTGATATTTTTTTTAAATGTGCAGTACACATCAGCCTCACTGAGCAAATAAAGGGAAACGAATGTTTCAAATCCAGTTGTTTCTCTTATTTATCACAAGTGAATAAGTTGTACATTTCCTAATTGGATATGCACTGGGTTTCTGTTATAACTGTGTTATAGCCAACTTCATCAAACAGTAGCACCACATGCATCACAGTTGCTGTTCTGTATTTTGAGCAAGAAAACAAAAACAGTCAGTTAAAAAAAGAAAGCTACCATGTTAGGTGAAAAACGGCTCTCAGGCTTTCCACATAGGGTCACATTCAAAGAGGGTCACTTTCAAAGACCAGCACATACCTCATAGGAAAACTTTGAAAAGCTTTCAGTTCAGATATAATTTGAAGAAGAATTACTGGCACTAAGGGAGCTGTAATAAGGGATACTGGTTGCATCTACATGAGATGTTAAATGATCAGTAGACTCATTCTACTGCACATTAGTGCGGCAGGCAAAAACGATGCTAATGTGCAGTAGAATGAGTCTACTGAGTATTAGCATCACAAAACATGCACCAGCGCTACTGATTATGGCACATTTAGTATCTATAATTATGGCACATTAATGCATGTGTAGACATGCCCACTGTCTGTCACTTCTGCATACCCAGCTTAAACCTGGATCAATCTGAGAGCCAGGGGTGAAAGTTAAATTCATTTGATAGCTGCTGTCCTCAATTCTTCCTAATATCTTAGAAGCACCTGTGTCAAAAACTCATCATCACAAGTATAATTTATTAGTGTCTTTGTCTCAGCAATGAGGCCAGGGTATCAATATACATGGAGATGTGAGGCTCGAATCTTCTGGGTCTGGCAATGTGCAGGTAAGGTCTGCAGAGGGCAGTCAGAAGTATGCCATACCCAGCACAATGACCTGGGCAACTGTACTCATACCCCTTTCAGCATGAATGCATACAAAAAGGAGAAGAAGCATGAAAGGATGAAAGTGGACTTGCAATTGGATACACTGGTGAGCAGCCAATGACTAGGGAAGCCAGTTAGAAGAAAGAACAGAGCTCCATTTCATGCTTCTTTGCCAGAAGCCATTCACAGCAGCCTAACTGTTTAACTAAACAGTACCATGAGGTTGAAAAGGCCCCTCAATTATTCATCAGGTGAGCTCCACCTCTGTGTGATGCTGCTTTGGGATTTTATTTACTATCTTCTCTCTCCGCTTCATAAAAGAATTCAGGAATATTGTCAGGGTGGTGTGAAAATGCTCGCATTGCTAGTAACCAAGCTGGATTCGTTCAGTTGGCAAACAAAGGATAATCAGTCCTATGAAGTTCAGAAGCAGGTCTTGCAGCGCCGACCACCTCCACCCTGTCTGAATGACAGTAGTCCAAATCCTGCTGTTCATTAAATCTTTGCTCCTCATTTCATTTCCTATGGCTCTGACTTACACTGGAAGCAAGAAGCATTGCAGTTATCCAGTTTTAAAAGCTGACTCTGGTATTTAAGGCTGTAAACTGTAGGCTGCCATCATAATTAAATGACATTGTTTCAGCATATGGGTCTACTTTAATATCCTTTCATTCACTTCATTGGGCAGAGCAGTATAAGCAGATCCTGTTGCACTATTGGCAGAGTAGGAGGAAAGATGGGGCATAATTACCAAGGACCTAAAACTGTATAAGTAAGACATCTCTATGCAGCGCCTCCCTGTCTTCCCTTAGTTATGTGGCCTTGGGATGGGCTGGGCAGGCTGGAGCAAGCACAACAGCTGCAGAAGCTGTTTGGGCCATGGGTACTGGGAACTGATGAGATTGTGAGACTTCATTTTGCAGTCTTGGCTTTAGACCCCTCCTTCCTTGAGCTCATTATCTATTCAACCAAAAATCTTTCTACTTCTTCCCACGGGTTCCCTCTTCAATGTCATTGTCTCTTTACCTAGCTAA